ATGATGCATTCTTTATATCTTTACATTCAGTTGTAAGCTACTACCTCTCAGCAATGTCAACCCCAACAGGAATATATGTGGGATAAAAGGTATAGAGTATCAAAAAAATTGAAGAGATCGATAAAAGCCTAGATTTCCTCAAAACTCATTTATAAAACCACAGAATACTTTGAAAAAGACAAATGAACTCTTAAGTAAACATGAGAAATGCTTGTAAAGCCTGCAAGGTTTTTAACAATGCATGGCGAAAAAATATTAATTACTTCAAGACTTTTTACTTGCAATGGATAATTCTAAGACTCCTGAAATAAAATTAAATTCATCTACATAATTTTCTTTTTAATAGAGCTAACCTTTATTATGTTTTATAATATACAATATACACTCTTCCTTTGGGTTATCTAGAAAAAAAATCTGTTTGCTTCAAGTACCCTACAATAATGAAAAAAAGAATTGTTCCTTCAGTAAAGTAACTCTATTCACTTTCTCACTGTAGGAGGAGTGATCAATATGATTGATTATTAAATATAATTTTCATTACCTAAGATGATAATTAAACTAGAAAAGTCCTTGCCATTCTTTTGAGTTTAAAAATAGAATTTACTTGTTCCTCACCAATGAGATATGAAAGAGGGTTCTGGATGGGGAATATATTCACACAGCTACTAATGATAATTCTATCAGACAGGACATCTATTATTGCTATAAATAAATAAAATTATTAATAAATAGTATTATTTTATTAGACAATAAATGTCTCCTAGAGTCAGGAACTTTGGAAAGAAAAAAGGCAATAAGTAAAAGAGTCACATTAGATAAGTCCCTTCAAGATAACACTGGACAAATAAGAGCAAGAATGTGAAAGATAATTTCAGGAAGTTTTAGTAACAGTACAGATTTTGAAAGTATTTATTTTGGATAGAATAAACATGGAAATTAGTAAAAGAGAGAGACAGATAGAAGAAGTAAAATATTACTGAGGGGACAAAGAAGAATCTACACCACTGATACTGCAAACAGAGTAGGAATGAACTGAAGGAAATCTTAGATCTTAGACATCAACAGAATTCTTGAGTTCACTGGATTTCTACTAGTTCATAACCTCAGAAGTGGGTCAGAGAGTCAGAGAAAGACACAAGAGGGGTTAAGGTGCTGCCTCAAGTGTTGGTTGTTCAATGCCCAACACTGCAAGGTTTGGTCCCTTGAGAACAAAGCTGGGAACAGCCCCTGCACATGCACGGGTGGGTGTGCCTCCTTACTCAACAAATCACAAAACAAACAAATCCAGGACTGATAAATAGAGAAATCATGATCAAGTTTCTTTCCTTCCTTCTTTCTTTCTTTCTTTCTTTCTTTCTTTCTTTCTTTTCTTTCTTTTTCTTTTCTTTTCTTTTCTTTCTTCTTCCCTTCTTTCTTTTCTCTCCTATATATAATAGGAGAAAATACCAAATGTTTGCTGCCTTATCAGTTTTGCATGTCATCTGAGGCTTTGGAAAAAGGAGGCTACAAAAGGGCCTAATTTTCTTATTGAATACTAAGACAACTTCCTTTATGGTCTCTCTCATAACGTTGATCCCCAGAGCACTCCCTTATAAATGTTCTGTAAGTTAATCTTTATCTCAGGGTTGGTTTATGGAGGAATTCAGTCTACAAAACATTGATGGGAGTGGTATGCACAGTTTCAGATTCATACCCTTTTTCTTGAAATAGGATCACTTCTGGGGCAGGTTCTACTTGTGCCATTTGATCTAATGTTGACGAAAAAAATGTTAAATTAATGTGAAGGTCTGTCCCAAATCTGCCCCAGAGAGAAAAATCCTTATAATAGTTCTTAACTGGAGAGAGACCTTGTAGACCAACTTTGGGAAAGTCTACTAATTGATGTGGTATTCCAATTGTAATATGCATTTATACTTCCTCTTGTGTCTACTAACTTTCTAAAGCATAATTCTAAAAACAAATAGTCTTATCCCTCATATCAAAATATCACTACAAAATTAATCTACCTAACATGTGTCTATAGAGAGGACATATTAGTATCATTCATTATACTGGACTCAAAACAGAACAACAATAATAAGGCTATTATTGCTTTATATTCCTGAATTTTTTTAATCAAGGATTTTCCAATGATTGATTACACACAAAATACTTGTGGCATATATTAAATGATAATGACTATTTTTCAGTAAGCATAGCTCTGTGACAAAAACCTCAAGAAAACATATATCCTAAATTTCAATACTTTAACTGAATACTTTTTTCTAATTTTTTTTAATTTCCCAGAGGAAAAAATTCCCAAGAAGTAACTCATAACTCAATTATGTGTTGAAGATTGCTTTAACTCTAAAGAGTACAAAGGGCATCCTTCAGTTCCACAGAGCCCTAACATGTGTGGTTTCTTCTACAGAGGAGCCTGGATTTTTGCCGAGAGGCTTTGAGCCAATGCAAACCACATAAGTCTAAACACTGCTAAAGTACTATATCTTGACACTTATTTGCTACTGTGGAGTACCTTTTAGCACTGGAGTGATTTATATAAATTTTAAAGGTATATACCTACATAAACATGAATGTTTATCTTTTCATATATAACTCCTTTATGAATAATGAGCATTATATCTATGAAAAAATATCAGTATGTCAGAAATACTCTGATATAGATGCAGAGTTTAAAATGTGTTCAAATACTCATTTATTTCTACAATACTATAAAAGAAACAAATGTTTCATAAATATTTATTTTATTAAATATTAACACATTTCAAACATGGAATATGGCCAAAGAGAGAGTTGCTTAAAATAGTCACAGAAGGAAGTTATGTTATCAGAATTTATTTTAAGCGATGATCTAATACTCTCAGTTCAGATAAATAGACTTTTTCTTCCAATCCCTGAAAGCAGAAACCAGAAAAAAAACCCAATCCCTTTTAGCTATTACACAAAAACTGAGACATATTTATAAAAATATAATTTTAGTTTTGCAGCATCTTTTAAAGAAAAACTGCATGATTGACCAAAATTTCCTTTGGTTTCTTTCACAAAAGGAATTACATCCAAATAAGACATTTACTGATGATTAATATATTAGTGGATATCATCACTAGGTTCTCCTAAGAGCAAAAGTTAATAAAGGAAAAATATATCCTCAAATTAGTATATAGAATGAAAACGTATTACAGAACAAAGAGAAAGTTTTTCTAATTCCAGAACAAAATTAATTACTGAATGAACTATTTTCACTTAGCTGTAAAAAATAAACAGGCTAGGGACTGGAGAGATAGCACAGCCGGTAGGGCGTTTGCCTTGCACATGGCTGACCCAGGTTCGATTCCTGCATCCCATATGGTCTCCTGAGCACTGCCAGGGGTAATTCCTGAGTGCAGAGCTAGGAGTGACTCCTGTGCATCACTGGGTGTGACCCCAAAAGAAAAAAATATATATACAGCCTACAAAATGATTTATTAAAAAGAATTTTAAAAGTTAGATTAAAACAATTCAAGAACAATTATTGATGATACTATAGTACTTAATCTTCTAGGAATAAAGATTAAATGAAATACCAGCATATTATTTGCATTCAAAGATTACTCACTTTTTAAGCCTGACAATTCATAAAAATGTCTTTATGCCTTTAGTGGAGCTTATGGAAAATGTGTAAAAACCGAAATAATTAAAAAGCATAAAAGAGCATTGTTTCTAATGCAAGCACTGATTAAGCAATATTTACACAAATGGAAATAAATTTTTTCGATGCAAAGACAAAACCTTTGTGAGATAATAATACACAAATATCGAGTAACTGATATTTAATTATTAAAAGCATCTCAAGAGGGTTAAATTTGTCATTGTAGGTGAATATTTTGTGAAGCTTCAAGGTCCAAGAATGCCCTGTAAATGATTTCTTTCAATAGAAAGAAGTACTTGTCAACTCAGTCTTGTGAACCCAAGCACTAGCCAAAAACCTTGCAGTGGGTACTGATATTTCTATTAGGATATATCAGAATATGTCAATAAAAAAATAGAAAGAAATCATGATCAAAATATGCAAAATAGGTCACAGATCTTTTCACCAGCTATTCTGTCCTTTTTGGTATTGATATCAATCCTCACGTGCATAGATAATGGTAGCTTGCAAATGATACTTGACAGAGTCTAAAATGTGGTATTATTTCCACTGCGGATCACTACACTAGTAAATATGGTAAGAAAATGTTTTTCTACTTGAAATAATAAATTTATATATATATATGTCAATTTCCTTCTATTATAAGATTATTCTTTATTTTTTAATTTTTTAATTTTTTTGCTTTTTAGGTTACACCCGTGATGCACAGGGGTTACTCCTGGCTCATGCGCTCAGGAATTACTCCTCGCAGTGCTCAGGGGACTGTATGAATGATGGGAATCAAACCTGGGTCGGCCTTTTGCAAGGCAAACGCACTACCAGCTATACCCTTAGCCCCAAGAAAGATTACTCTTAAGGAAACATAGATGAAACACTATTAACCTTCACTCCATGAATATGAATAGGCAGGCCATACTAGAAATCTATTTAGTTACAAAATGAGTGTGTGATTAAAAAATTGCAATGATAAATTGCTACCATAGCCACTCTATCAATTGAAATACACTGTTTGTTAATTGAAGTTCAAACATTAATTTTATAATTCATATAAAGTATCTTAAATCCTTGATAAATAGGTAATATGACAACTTTTTTATATGAAACATTTTTTCTACTCTGTAGTATTTAGTAATTTCTGATTCCTGTCATTCATATTTTAAGAGCATAATATTATACTCATTCGCTTGTAACAAATAATATGTCCATGAACTTAAACTGATAAAAATCCAAAATGCATAGAGATAACATGGTCTTTTGCCATATTTTTGATATGTATATAAATTATTGCATTTGACATTGAGTCATTTAAAGAAAAACAAAGTGAAAGTGTATGAAAATATATGCATGTATGGCCATATACAAATAAACTGACCTTCTTAAAATTTTTGTTTAAGTCAACCAGGCTGAGCAGGAAGATATGATCCTTGGCTCCCAGAAGTAGCCTGCCCCTCTCCTCATCTAACAGAATGGTTTGGAAATCCAGTCCTTCGGATGAACCCAAAAAGGGAATACAGCTATTTGAAAGCAGCAAATCTAGAGGAAAGTACAGAAAGAGACAAAGAAAAAATTCTTAATAAACCAAAACTTTATTTTTTTCACTGTATACCATATCCCACATCGCAAATACATATAAACAGCATGATAGCTCCAATATCCACAAATAATTATTCTAGAAAATACTTATATATAGATATAAAGTATTTGTTTAGTTTATTGATAAAATATGCACTTCTATATGAACTTAATTTGAAATTATCTCACATAATATAAAAATTATAATATACAAATACAGAAGCAATTACTTCCAAATTTTGTTTCCACATTGTTAAAAATTAAAGAAACTACCAAAGATAACATTTGAAAGTAGATAGATAGAATCATTATATGAATTAAACTAAGTCTGAAGAAAATCCAATAAAATTTTCTAACCTTCTGCTTTTAATATTTTTAATAGACACTCATATTTGGAAGATTATACTGTGCCTATTTCATATAATCAAGGAGATAAAAATGAGGAAACTAAATACTACAAATAATATTATGTAAGAGATATGACCCTAAACTAGTTATAAAATCACAATTTGAGGTTGGAAAGAAAATGTTATAAATGAATTAATGTAAATTCAAAAGTTTATAAAATGTAGATAAATGTAGATATTTAGTTCTACATGTCCTAAAGTCACAAAATTATGTAGTACTAAAGATGAAAATAGAAACACTGTCACAGTGTACTACAGACACTTGTCTTTAAGTCCTACCTCTTTAGTTCATTTGTAATTGTAATATGAATAAATTCTAATATAAATTTATGTCTGGGTTTTCTTAAGTCCAATTTTTTCAATAGATTTTATAAAATGTGTTTTCAGATCCTCAAATTTTTGTACAACCCTACAATATTAAATAAAAGTAAAGTCTATTATCACTGATTACTTATGAAATTTTGTTATATGTTACTGGATTTTAAAATCATGGGAAGATAGCTCAAAGAAATGAAATGAATGTCCCTAAGTTTGCACTGGAGCTTGTGCATCACAGGATTGCACAAGGCGGATAGGTGTACCTCTGGTGACCCTTCTCTGGGCACTTCTAAAAGTGACCCCTAGCTCTCTGAGTACTACTGGTCTGGAAATCATTCCAAGTAATTAATAGTAACTGAGGTTCAAGGAATAAAGATATAATGTTGGGCATAGGAATCAATAAACTTCTGAAATATTTCATGGACGATTTCAAGTTCTATAAAATAGAACTATGAGTCCCTTAAGTTAAAAGGCCATCTATTCTATCAACTATGGACTTCATTATTACTTTTACTATAGCAAATTCCCATTATTCTTTTTTTTCAAATTTACAATAATTGTTATTTTTCTTAGTCACTAAGCTAGATTTGTGTCTTAGTTTTGAGAAACCATAAGACAGTATGCTGAACTGTACCATAAGACTTAAAATCCAAAGTGAGTGTGACTTTCATAAACATAAATGTCTAATTAATATTTCTTGTCCATAACTGTTTTGCTGGATAGAAATCTGAACCTTAACTTATTTTATATTTATCACAGCCACAGTCCTCTTGTTGTTCATCGATTTGCTCGAGCGGGCCCAGTAACATTGTGAGACTTGTTACTGTGTTTGGCATATCAAATACATCACAGGGATCTTGCCAAACTTTGCCATGCGGGCGATATAGTCTCGTAGCTTGCCGGGCTCTCGGAGAGTAGCGGAGGAATTGAACTCGGGTCGGCCATGTTGGCTGCATGCAAGGCAAACGCTCTACCTGCTGTGCTATTGCTCCAGCCTATTTTATATTTATATAATATATATTTTTATATATTATATATTTTATATATTTTATTTTATATTAAAATAAATATAACTTTCAGAGTTGTCTTAAACCAGAGAAACAATAGTACAATGTATTTTAACTTCTTCAAGTGTATTTAACTTATTTTAGCTAGGCTCACAGCCAACAAGCATTGCATATTGCATATTGCTTGTAAAGTAAAATTGAAGAGAAAAGAGTGGAATCAAGATAACAGATAAGATAAAACTTATCTAAAGACAAGAGAAAATATTTCATATAAACGTTTAATTAAATATACATGTTGGCAGGATTTTTCCACATTTCACAGACTGAAATGGGAAAAATATACAATAAAATTTACAAGAATATATATCTTGAACAACTAATAGAGAAAAGTAGGCAATACTATATATGATGATATTAAAATGCCCTCTTATATCATGTGATTATTTTAGTCATATATTACAATTAGTTAAAAATAAAATGAGACTTAGCCTAATGTGTGAGAATGTGAAATTTAGGTTCAGATCACCTAAGTCATAGCCTGGATTCTTTATAGCTATAATACTTACTATTCATAAAGGAGTTATGTGTGGGGAAAAAAAGCAACTGTATTTATCTAGGTAGGGTTGTCTTGCACGTGGCCTACCCGGGTTCGATTCCTCCATCCCTCTCGGAGAGCCCAGCAAGCTACTGAGAGTATCCCACACACACGGCAGAGCCTGGCAAGTTCCCCATGGCATATTCGATATGCCAAAAAGAGTAACAACAAGTTTCACAATGGAGACGTTGCTGGTGCCTGCTCAAGCAAATTGATGAACAAAGGGAGGACAGTCCTACAGTGCTACCTTTAAAAGGAGTCATATTCAATTTGAAAATTTACTGGTGACCAAGCTTTTGGTGGACATCATTATTAGGCTCTCCAAGGAGCAAAGGTTATTTCAGGAAAAATATACCCTTAAGATTAGTAAAAATAATGGAGACATACCAGCAGAACAAAGAGTAAGTTTTTCAAATTCTAGAACAAGATAAACTCTGGACTCTCAGACCAAGAAATTTTACTCTGTATCAATACATGATTCTCACAATGATTTACTAAGTTATTTAAATAAAGATCTTCAGCAATGTCTTAAGATGGCTAAAGTTAGCACTGTAGCACTGTCCTCCCATTGTTCATCAATTTGCTCAAGCAGACCCAGTAAGGCATCCATCGTGAGACTTGTTGTAACTGTGTTTGGCATATCAAATACATCACGAGTAGCTTGCCAGGCTTTGCCATGCGGGCAAGATACTCTTGGTAGCTTGCCAGGCTTTCCAAGAGGGGCGGCTGGAGCGATAGCACAGCAGCTAAAGTTAAAGTTAATTATAAACATCATTATTTTGAACATAATTATTAAATACCAGGTTGGGCCAAATAAGTTCCACTAACATTGAAAATTATCTCATTAACTATTAAATCTGATTTATGAGTATTATAAGTCTTTATGTTTTTTTAAATAATATTGAAGGAATCATAAAGATAGACAGCAGGGAAGGCACTTTCCTTACATGAGGCTGATCTGGATTTGACCCCTTACATCATATACGGTAACTGGTAACTGAGCACCACAAGGAATGATCCCTGGGGACACAGCCAGGAATAAGCTTCAAGCACAGCTGGGTGTGACCATCCCCCAAAAATAATAATGGAATTATTGATTTTGGTTGTCAGATGACATAGCCCTGCTTTCAAGGCTCTCCCAGATGATTGTATAAATAGATGGCTAAATAAAATATAACATAAGTAAACTAAATAATAATAGAAATATACAGAAATTGTTAACATCTCTCAAGTGATTATCATCACTTTCCAAGAGGAGGTACATTTAAGAGTAGCATGAAGGAAAACTATAAATTTGACAGAAAAGATACAATGGTATAGATTCAAATGAAACCACTTATACATGTTTGTGGAAATGATATTGTGATAACAGTTCATTTGCCAAACCATGGAGACTGGGGTCAGTGACAAATGAGCTTGGACACAAAGATAGTCTCCTGATAACCAGGATTTAAGATGTCAGGCTGGCAGGTTTTATTATTATGTAGGTAACAAAAACACTTTATGCAGGAAAAATACAAAAATAATTGAGTGTTAGAATGATAAATCTTACTATAAACACTACTTAAGATGTTGATAATCACAAAAGTAAGAGATAGGTCACTACACAGAAGTTTCCAGATGATGGTGAAAGCCTGAATTTGACAATATCTTGGTTTGGGGAGAGAGAAGAGTTTTAAGAATTTGGAATGTCATTTACTTGTGTGTTGTTCTGTTCAGGCTTATCACAATGAAGAAAGAATATATGTTTTATGCAGTCCATTGCTTTATTTTACTTCATCATAATCAATTCTATTGGGTTTCATTTCAAACAAATATGACAAGGAAGAACAGCTGCAAAAATAGTGACTAACCTGAAGTATTATCATTTCAAAATGATTTACTGTTGCCTTGTGACAATGTTAGCATCAAACGATTAAAGCATACTTTGCCAATTCTTTGTAGCCAAACTAAATAATTAGACTTAGGCATTACACATGAAAATTTCTCAGGCTGACGCACTCGTTTTGAAAAGACCTTGGAACAAGGATTGGAACAGGTTCCCTCTTCCCCAAGCAGCTTATCTTTCTTGCATTTATGCCAAACCAAGCAAAGCCATTTTTATTTGCAGAGGATCATCAACCAAAGTCCAGGGGAAAATATGTTAAGTTCAGAGCATGCATCTTAACACCTAAAACAAATACACTCCCAGGATTTCTGCAATCATAAATGGATGCTGGCTCTGCAGGCAGCAAACTCATGAAAGTTAAAACTAATACCTTAGCAGTATATTTCAGAGCTCTATTTTTTTTTCTTTCCCTAAAGTGGCAGTTCTCAGGCATGTGGTTTTTAAGACTGTTCATAGATTATGCTGCTTTTGAAAAAAAAAAGTCTATTTTGCTTTGCTTCATTCTCCCTGGGGTAGAAGAGATTGTGTTGCTTCACTTATTCAGAGTCCTGCCTTGCATTTACTTAATTTGTCCCACCTTTCTTAGATGACAGCAGCATTTGCCTTTGAATCCTAAATGCATTCTTTGTTCCACTACTTGGACTTTTGACCTAATGCACCACAACTGTTCCTCTTCACTATTCCTTTCAGCAGTTCATTGTGCTATAACTTTGTTTTCAGTTTGTAATCACACTCATCACCAACGT